TGCTTGCTGCAGCTCCACCTCACTACCTTTTCCTACCCATGAGCTTAAATAGTCTTGATCGCGAGGGTGTGAGATTGCCGAGTCCCCGTGACTCACGGGTTACTTCCAAAACCAGATGCAGGTGCCGATGATGCCATTCCAGGGGTTCGACCGAACTCAAGTGGGAGTTTGACGAGGATTCAGGACGTTACTATGTTTCCTTTCCAGACGATCAGTAGTGGAGCCCAGTTGGGGCGATCGGGGATCTATCGCATTTGGGGTTGTCTTTATTTTGGGTTCCATAGTCGGACCTTGATTGTATTCTGGATGATATAATGCTATATTTATGTATTGTGTGAAGTGGCGATTGTAAGCCAACTCTTTATCTCTTTCTTGTTCAGTACATGGGATGTGTAAAGATTACCCCTCTTACGACATGCCTACAATGCGGTTATGCCTCTAAGTCGTGCTCCGACACGTGGGAGATATAGCCGCATCGTGGGTGTTACATACCCCCAGCTCAAATCCCCTTTTGGGCCACTTTTTCTTTCACTCTACCCCTGCTTCCCCTTATTCTGTATCCGCACCCTCCTCGTCTTACGCCATCGGTGTACCTCTCCGACCACCCCCAAGCATTTTTTGGACATCCGGAGCCCCCACCCACGCGCCTGTCTGCCTTGGACTACGCCGCCATCCGCCCGAAATTTGTCCGTAGCCACGTACGTTTCGCCCCCCGCTGACGCTATCCATGGCGGACATCACCATCGACAGGTGTTCGATCAAATGACATTGAGCTTTTTTAAAACTTCTTGTTGTTTTCTAGAGTAAGCACGATGACAGGCTACATGATGATAGAGGATGACTTGTTGTGCGATGCATGGAAAAAGTTCATAGCCTAGGACTTTGTAGGTATGAGGCAAGGGGGTTCAATCTTTTGGCAGAACTCGTGTGTGCCTCGTTTCATGAGGAAAACAACGACACGCCCTATGACATGCACGTGATCCATGATCTCAATGTGAAGTCCCTAGGCCATCGTCGATGCACCATCTAATGGTAAGTTCTTATTCTTGATATACATGTTGGTCAATTGATTGATTCGCTCAAAATTGTAACTTGATAGTCATCATGTTGTATAGCCTAGACATGTTGTTGTGCTGTACTACAGGACCGAGGGTAGGCCATTTACGTTCAAACATTGTTGGATGAAACTCAAGGGGCATAGTGCATGAGATGACATGTGCAGATTCTGACTCGAGAATCGTTGAATTCGAAAAACTTGTTGAACATTCGGTTATTTCATATGTAGTATTTACATTTGAACTATTGTTGTACTATGAATATTGGTATGTTATTTCATCGATGAATTGATGAATTGTGCTATTTTCCATATGTTTTTAGGTGTTGCGGACATAAGAAAAAAATAGGGACAAATATATAAGGGACATGTTTGGCTGGTTGGCTCCCATATCCGTGTCTGGGGACATGTCCGAATTAGTTCGTGGACAAACAAGGTATCCCTTTTGCAGGTCAGCACTGGGGATGTCCGCAAAATAAAAAGTGGGTCGAGGGCCCATCAGACGTAGCATGCTCTTGTCTCCCGCGGTGTGGAACGGGACCTCCTCCCCGACCTACGTGAGGAAACGTGCATGCCCTACCCCCTCACGCCTAGGTTGGGGACAACCTAGATGCATGGGAGGGCTCACCTGTTTGTTTGGCTTTTCATTTTTCTTGCTTTTCAATGTTTACTTTTCTGTTTCTTCTTTCTCAAAAAATGTTTGAGATTTTGAAAACGTTCATGAAGTTGTAAAGTGTTCGTAAATTTGACTTTTTTAGTTTAAATAAATATTCACGAATTTGAAAATTATTATTGGATTTCAAAAACTGTTCATCAATTTGATAAAATATTTCTAATTCAAGAAATGTCAATGATTTTGAGAAATATTACCGGAATTCAAAATTTTCTCACTTTGCGATTTCAAAAAATGTTTTCAGTTTCCGTAATTTGATCTGGATTTTCAAAAACTGTTCCCAAATTTTAAAAATTGCCATCAATATGAAACATTGTTCTAAATACAAAAAATATTTGCGAGTACAATAGAGTTCACCAAATATAAAACATGTACGCCAATACAAAAATTGTTCACTATTTCAAAAAAAATTGTGACTTCAAAATTGTCCGCGGATTCAAAAAATGTTCATGAATTACTATTTTTTTACAAATTTTAGAATTGTTCATGAAATCTAAAAACGTTACTGATATTGAAAAAATTCATAATTTAAAGCATGTTCACTAATATGAAAATGTTCACACAATGCAAAATATGTTTATGAAATTTAAAACAATACATGATTTTAACAATTCTTCACGATTTTGAAAAATATATCTAATTTTTAAAATAAATCATGAATTTGAAAATTATTCCCGTATTTCCAAAAATGTTGACGTATTTCAGAAAATTAAAAAGTGTTTGTGAATTTGAATAAATGTGCATTATTTTTAGAAAATATCATGAATTTCAAAAAACAAATGTGGATTTGGAAAACATTCCCGGATTTTTAAAAATTGAGGAGTTCAAAAAATTACAGATTTTTTTAAATGTAAACAAAAGGGTAAAAGAAAGAAAAAATAAAGGAAATAATAATAAAGGAAAAATATGTTCAGGGAAAGCCGTAGAACATTCCCAAAACCAGTGGGGACAAAATATCGGAATGTGCCGGCCCATATAGAGGGACAGGCGCGCTGGATAGTAAACGGTTGGTTGCTATTCAACACGGTAGTTTTATCGGGAGCAACTAGTTAACGAGCGCTTCTTCGGAAGCCTCGCAACAATCAGCGCCACTTGGCGCGCTCTTAGCCATTCGCCACGTGTCGTGTTTTGGATGCTCCATCTGGATTTTGTTTTTTTTTGTTTTTTCGCACGCGTTTTCGGCTTTTTAAACGGTTTTTTATCCCGTTTTTTTGATGTTTTGGTTTTCCCCCGTCTTCTTTAGCTTTTCGATAAAAAAATAAAAAAATAGTTTTGCGTGAAAAACGTGTTTTTTTTTCTTTCTTTCTTTCGCGAGAGGCACGGTTGCGCTTTAGCGAGAGTCACGGTCGTGCCTTTCAAAAACGGAAAAAACCGCATTTTCTATTTTTTTCGCGAGAGTCACGGTTTTGCTTCCGCGAGAGACACGGTTGTGCTTTCGCAAGAGTCACGGCCGTGCCTCTAAAAAAGGGAAAATAAAACGTGTTTTTTCTTTCTTTCTCGAGTCACGGTTTTGCTTCCGCGAGAGGCACGGTTGTGCTTTCGCGAAAGTCATGGCCGTGCTTCTCAGAAAGGGAAAAAAATACGCGTTTTTTCTTTTTTTTTTCACGAGAGTCACGGTTTTGCTTCCGCGAGATGCACGGTTGTACTTTCACGAGAGTCACGGCCGTGCTTCTCGAAAACGAAAAAACTGTGTTTTTTATTTTTTTTCCTTCCACGAGAGTCATGGTTTTACTTCCACGCGAGGCACGGGTGTGATTTTGCGAGAGGCACGGGTGTGCCTCTTTCGAAAAGGGAAAAAACCGTGCTCCCGGTTCGGTTTTTTCGCCTTCTTTTCGCGGGTTTTTTTCGTGAAAAAAAAGTTCGTCAAAACCTATCAACATGAGATCTAGTTTTAAAAATCTCGACGCGAGGAATCCAATGATGAAAACGATTCAAGATTTGGATGCATTGTTTAAAAGATAAAATATTTTAAATAAACAGATTTACGAAAAAAGAAAAACTCTCAGGTTACGACAAATGGCGCGCTGCATGTACGCCACTTGTCACGATCTGAAAAAGTGGAGTGTTCTTTGCAACGAATACTCCTTAATTAATGATTTCGAGTTTTATCTCGCTATAAGCAAGATATATACTCCCCTAGACTGAAGATTATTCATGCGCGCTATAGTACCGGGCTGGCCTCTTACCATTTACATTTCTTAGCTGTCACTTTTTTTTCTGTTCGGTTTTCTTTGTTTCTTCCCGTCTTCCTCTTTCTGTTTTCTTTGTTTCTCACCTTTTTTTTCATTTCTTTCATGTGTTTAATGATTTTTTTCTTTTTCTTTTTCTCTCTTCAAATTTCTTCGTTTTTTTTACCTTTTTGTATGCATCAAGAATATTTTTTATGCACATGTTTAAGCATTTTTAAATACATAATTAAATTTGTTCGAAAAATACATTGTTTTGATTTCTACTTTTTTTCTTACACATTGTATTTTTTATACATTAGGAATATTTCTTAAACAAACTTTTACCATTTTGGAAATAAATGAATATCATTTTTGAAAACATATATTTTTGGTACTTTTTTCATAACCATTGTATATTTTTTATATACATCAGGAACATTTTATGTATACATTTAGGTTTTTTACGAAATACCTAATTAAAAAATTTTAAACATATTTTTATGTCTATTTTTTCAAACACATTGTACGTTTTTGTATATATCAAAAACATTTTTATACATGTTTACCATTTTTCCAAATACTTGATTAACATTTTTGAAAATTGATCTATTTTCATGTCTATTTTTTTCATTCACATTTTACAGTCTTCATATAGTACGTCAGAATTTTTTTCATACAAATTTAATATTTTCCAAATGGATGATTTAAGTGTTCTTAAAACTTGTGTTTTTATGCCTATTTCTTCCATACACATAGTACTTTTTTCGTATGAATCAAAAACAGTTTTTCAAATGCATGGTTAAAATTTTCGAAAAAGTTATGTAACTTTTTTGTAATATATATTTAGAATATTTGAAAATATGAATAAAAGTAAAAAAATAGAAAAAAGAAAAAATGTAAAAAAGGAGGCTGTGGTCTGCCAAGCGCTGGGCCGGGCCAGTCTCGCGCTCGCGCTCAGGCGAGGCTGCCCGAGCGACCTACGCGCGAAATAGGGATCGCCATGTCCGTGTGCAGCCGTTCCGTTCCAGTTCCACCACCCGCGCCTCATCCACAACCGAACGGGCGCGACATGTGCTCGACGTTTTCCCTCTGAGACCACGCGGCCATGGCGCTCGCCTTCCTCCCGCCCGCGCCCGCAGTCCACCATCCGCCGCGCCCCCTCAATCCCCCGCCGCCCGCGTCCGCCACCAACACCGGCTTCTCTTTCCTCTTCCCACCCGCCTCCCGCTGGCCCTCCCTGCAGAGGGCCAGCTCCGCGGCAGCCGGCGGTGGCGCCGGCTCGTCAGAAGCGCCGGCCGACAGCTCGCTCGACGCAGACCTCCTCCGGAGGGTCTCCGGGGCAGAGGACGCGGACCGAGCGCTGGACATTGTCGCGGAGTCGCTGGGAGGCGGGGCCGGCTCCGGCTCGAAAGCGTCCCTTGACGCGTCCGACTCCAATGCGATAGTAGCGGCGGCGCTTGACCGGGGCAACGTCGACCTCGCGCTCTCCGTCTTCGACGCGATGCGCGCCGGCCTGGCGCGAGGTGAGCCCGCCTTGCTCCTCTGCTATTTTGTCCATTCATGAGTTGCTTGAGTGCTCCTGACTCCGGTGTCCAACTCTGAGTTTGCAGTAGGGCGCTGGGGCTGGGCAAGGCCGGACGCGCGGACCTACGCGTTGCTTGTCCAGCGATTGGCGGCGGCTCTGCGCGTTTCTGATGCTATCAGGATAGTCGACTACGTGTCCCGTGCGGGTGTATCTTCTGCAGAGGAGGTGAGGTTTCGTGTTAGGAACTCATGTGCCAGAGGAATGTCGTGTGCTTATGTCATCTGTCGCATGATGCTCCAATCTGGTGTGCCAAGTATCATGCTGATTTCTGACCCATGAATTTGTAGTTTTAGAAAGTAAACGCTGAGTAGATAGATACCTCGCACAACAACACAAAATATCTGGCTGCTATCTATCTCAGTGCTTACTTTCTTCATTTTTCTGCTTTGCAGTTTAATTCTATGTATACTTAATTTACAACTTTAATCATCTTTGACTGTGGATATGAATAAGTGCGATACAAAATCATTCCCAGAACAATCACCTTGCCATCCCATTTTCATAGCATTTCCATCAAGATATGAATAATTTCTACCAAGAAGTTGCAAATAGAAATTTAACAGATAGCAATAAATGTACTTCAGAGGAGTTTATTTGACAAAGGATTCAGTGGGAAACCATTTATGTATGGCATTACTTTCTTTTTTCCCGCCTTAGACTGATAATAACAGCAGCAAAGAAGAAATTAAGCCAGTTAGCATATTAAAATACATGGGATCAAGTTTCAAATTCGCAAGGTCAAGTACTCTTAGGTGCGTCCATCTGGCGGTTTGCAGAAGGCACACCTTAGTCCACAGTTTGGCGGGCATAACAAATGAAATCAGCTCATGAACATTCGAAGTATCCCAATTTATCCAGGACCTCCTTCGCCTCCTAGGGGTATCTTTGTTTGGGAGCCAACGTATCAAAGTTTGCATGTTGCGTGACTTAATATGCCTAGAATATATCTGCTTTGAATATTAACAGAGTAAAAATTAATTTTGAACAGTTTGGCAGTATTAATATTACAAGATTGCACATTGCCCCACAATAATGCCAGTAGTTCTGAATATCTTTGAAATTTGATAGTTTTGGTGAAAATTGAATATCCAATGTTGACATGTGGGTGCCTTAGTGAATGGAATATATCTTGTACACATTAAATTAGTGCAATTAAGTGTTACAGTAACACATTTTAGTTACTGCAGGTCCCGTTTGGCATAACTGTTCGCTGTCCAACCTGCATGGTGGCAATTGCTGTCGCACAGCCTCAGCATGGAACTCAGGTTCGATGCTTCAGAAGTAGTTGCTTTACTTCTCCTTCACATACTGAATACTACTCATCAGCTTGCAAAACACGGACTTCTAAACAATTTTCCGCAGCTGGATACATCATGAGACGCGAGACAAATGTGACTTGGAAGAATAAGAGGGAAACAATGGGGACGGTAGCTGTTAGATATTGTTAGCACAGGAACCAACATACTGTCGCCAGTAGGTAGGAGCACAGAAGGGAGAGTTCTAGGAATATAAATGCTTTTAGATCCATATGCAAATTGTAATTCTGGTAGGTGGATCTTATTTTGTAATTCTGTCCCTCACTAGGGTTTAGTGACAATGGATGCTTTAGTAAATAGTTTCACTCTTTATGGTCGCACATTGCTATAACTTATAAGCACTTCAGCAGGACATTTTGATAATTTTATATAGGAAACGTATTCTTAACAGTTAACCCTCTCAATTCTCAAGTTTTATATATTCTCCACTTCACCTCTAAAATAGGAACCAATTATTCTACTCTCCTGTCTACCAAAACCGGTTGACATAACCCTCTTGCCACTTTTCACAATGACACCCCCCTCCCCCGGCCGTGCGCACCTCTTACCATTGCCAATCTCCACGGTGGGGCATACACATCCCTCTTGCGCGTTGCGTGCTGCCCCCAAACTTCTCCATGGCCCGTCTTTCAATACACCACCACCTAACTCACCTTCTTTCCCGTTTGTTCCATTTTCAAGGTTGCTATAATGCCGTCATCGCCCATTTTCCGCTGGCAAGCTCTCCCAAGTGCTCTCATGGCTGTTGTTCTAGTTCGTGTGGAAATCAGTTCTTTTCCCCCTTTCTTTCTATATGTTTGTGTGACAGCCATGTCCTGCGACAGGCTATTTATCCCTCGTCAAGTCCTACAAGGATCTAGTTGTCAGGCTAGACTGCCACCATGGATAGATTATACCATGCTTGTAGGATTACTTGGACTAGGTCTGATTCTTGCTGTCAACAATATTGCTTCTATTTGTAGGAGACCATTTGGCAGATATGTTACATAGGTATACACATGCAAGTGTGTTAAATACGCAAGAAACCCTTCACAATGGGGAACTATGAACAACTATATACATGTCTAATGCCTTCCACCCCAACTCATGGCAGATCAACAACATGAACACAAAACCTGGAATATTTTTAGTTGGATGCTTTGAATTGCAAATATCGTTATGGTTTTTAGTTGGATGCCTTCAGGTGGTTTCTTGTTCGAAGTGCCGGTACCAATATGAACTATTTTCTGGAGACGTTACAAGCATCGAGTCAGAAGAAGTGAGGTTAGTGACTGAAACATGTTTTATTCATCAAGCCGTCTATTGGATATTTCTGTACCACCTTCATAATGTTGTTCATTGTAATTTAGTGTCCTTTTAGGCTTTTAATTATGGATTATGATCACTACTTTTCAAAAGCAACTAATACGAACCTTTACCAGCAACATTTTTTTTGCTAGCGGGAGAGGGGGGGGGGGTCTAGGTGCTTGAACTTTAGAGATACTTGATATCTTGAATCATAACGAGTCATTGAAAATGTTGAGCTTAATCAGTAATCCGGTTATGGTCTGACTGATACTTTTTTCATGTGTTTTTGGGGGTGGTATGATGGGCAACTCAATGTTGCTCTTGTAATTGGTTTGTGGGGTGGTTCAATATTGCTCCCAAAAATATTGCTTTCCAGGATGCCGAAACGTCTTAAATGTTTGATAACTACACATTGTTCTTCGATGTAACTCTATGACAGGGGTGATTTGTGGGCCTTCCAATGATTATTCATTCTCTGCGTACTCCTTTGCATTATGTAAATTGGTTAATTTCTGTTGTTTTACTGTTATCTCACAATACAAATTTTAGTGCTTCATTTCAGTTTTCCAGCAGTTACTATACTTCATGTCGCTTCTAATATTATTTCTCTAAGGATCTTCTCCTACCGAACGCAGCATGGATATTTCAGCTTTTGAGAAGGCCTTGCAATTTATAAATGTGATGAAAGATGATCTTCCAGCTGCCGTTCACTCTATCGTGGTAGCTTTCCTTTCCAAAATGCAGATTAGAAATTAGTCTATTTATATGTTGATGCTATTTACTTTAGACGGAGTTTTACTTTGTTCTTCGTGACACGTGAAATGCCTTAGGGTCTTGCATATTATGTAAAAGTATATGGTGAACTGAATGGAAGTATATTTCATCACATTTTCTGTTAAGATTGAGGCAAGAATGTTTGGATAGAATGTTCGAAATGTAAAGATGATGACGCAGTACAAAATTATCAAAATGTTGCTACCACTAATGACAAACTTGTACCAGTATTTGTTTTAAGCTCCACATCAAAAACATGAACATATCTTGTCATAGTTATCGGAAAATAACCAAACACTTGTCAGTCAAGTCAGCATGACCAAATTTGGTCATAGAGAATTGGCAACTATCAACTCTAGAGTAAACAGTCCATTATGCCACATACCCAATGTTGCCCCATTCTTAAGTGCTGCTAATTCGACATTCAAGAATTTAACTGCCATTTCTCACTGAATACTGATTGGCGTCCGGAATTTTGTGGCAGCATGCTGGGGCTTCAGGTCAGCCTTTCATGGATGATATCATCTTCTTTTACAATCTATGCACAGTACTGTTAACAGCTTATGTCAATTTGGTTTCAGTTTCTAATTACTGATATGTTTATCTGTCATTTGTGTTGCAGATCCGTACACCCTCAGGAACAGCCCGCACACATAGATTTGCTACCAAGACTGTGGAACTGCCTGCTCAAGGAGGAGAAAGAGTGACCATTTCCTTGGCTGCCCCAGCCAATGCTTATCGTCAGATGGGTCCCCTCAAGATCGCGGCACGCTCAAAAGGGTTTAGTCCAGGAGAACCCATGTGCCTCACTAACCATGTCAGTGGAGAGATCTCAAAGTTGCTAAGAGTGCCATCAAAGAATGCGGGACCATTGTTTCTTAGTCCTTATCTAGTTGGCGGTGCTGTTGCTTTGCTTGCTTCTGGAGATGCTGTTTCTGCATTCATTGATCCAAGCCTCCCTAGACTAATTACAGCAACTGTCATTGCATCGGCTGCTGTTGGGACAACACTAAATCAAGTGATCCTGCCAGAGACACGAAAGGTATGTTTGATTTCCATGTAGCAAAAACATCTAGGGTGTTTCTTTCATTAAAGAAACGAAACAAAGTTCCCTTAAAAAAGAGAGAAAGAAATGAAACAAAGTAGTGATACTCTGAGCAGGTAGGTAAAGATCTAGTCATGTATCACCGATAAATTTGTTTACTATTAGTATTAGACTGTTCCATCTTGCTTTGTTGATGGGTTAGCTCCACCTGATCTTGCCAGTACTTGTTGGCAATACTACCCATTCCGTTAGCATTACTGATGGCAATGATAATTCTAATTATGTTCTCAACCATACTATCAACTTCAAAATCTTTTTCGTGTTGAGTAATGTTTTTTGGAGGTAAATGCAGTGACTATAGTCTTGAACTAGAAAGTGTGGTGTGTATTAACTATCCTGCATGATTTAACTCTTGTGTTTGTCCAGCTTCCGCAAAAGGCGGTAGACATAGTTGCTGTACAGCAGAAACTCTTATCTCAATATGACATGCTTCAAAGTCGTCTTAAGGATCTGAAACAGCTTGTTGAAAAAGAGGTTTGTCTGTTTAATCTCTGTAACCAGTAAATCTTCTGCTAGACGTAAAGTTTTGAAAAGCATAGTGTCCAGAATTATTCCATCGAAGGTGTGGATGCTTGCAAGAATGTGTCAGTTGGAGAACAAGATATTAGCAGTAGGCGAACCATCATATCGGTAATTTTTACAGAAGTTGCATGTTCTTCTATCATACTGGTTTAATTTACTTACTTAAAAAAGCACTGTTTTATTACAATAGTTTCATGTTCTACTGCAGTGTTTTATGAGGAGAATTGAGCATTGTACAAACTAATTTGCAGTGCTCGACGTGGTAGAGTGAAGAGGGTACGAAAAAGCTTGGAAACTACGCTTTTGGCAAAGATTGAGCTGATGGAAAGTTACGCAAAAGTAATACAAGAGACTGTAAATATAAATCTGTATACATTTCGCATGTAATGTAGCTGAAATAAAATGTTGAATATGGCATTGCAGTTATGTTCTATGATTGAAATTGAAGTTGAAATGGACTCTGATGTTATCGTTGCTGAAGCAGCAACCGGTGCAGTAAGTTCCTATCAATACATACAGTATACTCCCTCCGTTCGGAATTACTCGTCTCGGATATGAATGTATCTAGAATTAAAATACGTCTAGATACATCCATTTGTACGGCAAGTAATTCCGAACGGAGGGAGTACTTCCTAATCATTGTTTCTACCATTGTTTTTGTTTTTCTGATTAATTCCGGACAGATAGCTAATAATGAGTGTTACAATTCAGGAAAGAATATCAGAACAAATTGAACAGTTGATGGAGATTGACAGTCTTGAAGAGGTGGAAAACCTTCGGCCCAAAATTTCTATCGAGCATACCATCGTTTACGAGGAACTAACATTTGCTTCTATAACCATTTCAGCAATGGCGTATACAAGCCGAGGCTAATGATGAAGCAGAAAGGCTTCTTGGTTCAGATTCTTTGGAAGCATTGTCTGCTGAGCGTGTATGATGATATTTTGGTATGGAAGTACATTATTTTGTTTCCCATTTTTCATATAGCTCAGTTCAATATACATGTTTTACTTCCAAACTGAGAACAAAACCATATTCCACTAGGCTGGTCACAGTGACTTGTGAAGACGATGATTCTGATACAGAAGACAAACTGATTACTATGTAGAACCATGTATCCCCCCCATAACATCGAAGTGAATATTGCAAAGAACTTGAGATCTCTAGCAGACACTTGACAGTACAGACCAGGACAAGCTTATGGATAGAAACAAGAGAGAATTCCTTATTTGACACTCTCTTAAAATCATGTTCCTTATTTGACACTGAAAAAAATTTCTTCCCTATATGACCTATAGTCTTAATTTCTTTCCCTATATGACATTCTAGTTCATTTTGTACACGTGAAAAGACCTTTTTGCCCCTGTACATAATGCGACCAGAAATATGTAGCATTGAGCCTAATTAGGGAAAATTCGTTTATGAGAGTGAGCACACTCAACATGTTATCTCCTCCGTTGGTCTTTTTTGGGATGCATGTGTATTCTGTATACCTGAGCGCATGCATCCAATGTATTTAGAACGTATTCAGCTGTGGGTCTAGTCTCATGCGGTATGGTTTGTGAGTGCGACTGTTTGACGTACTTTTGTACGTGTGCTTTAACACTAAAATGCATTCTTAAAAATGAATGAATTTTTTTAAGCACTTTTGTGTGTGCTTCGGTGATCACCTACGTGTATGCCATTAGTGCATGTGCACGTATTTGCATGGCCCATGCAGGACCTATAGCTGTATGGAAGAAAGTTGCGTGCTAGCACGAACGTACGCCCGGTTCGGTGCAGCCAACATGCGTATGTATATGAACCGGGTCATACGAAGCTAGAATACATGTATTCGCTTGATCGTCAGGGTGCGCGTATGTATTTAAATATCTATGCTCCGTGTACGTATTTAAATATCTACGCTCGGGCAGGCAAGCTGGCTGCGTATATGTACACAAATACGTATAGACAACTAGCCAGACCGGTCAATTAGCACATGAACCATCGAAGGCCTCGGTCATGATTTCTTGTACCGGCTGGAGATTTCCAAAGAGCGAGAGACAAAGGCTCTGTTTGCTTCAAAAAAAAATTTGAATTTCGTTTGCTTCAATTTGTATCGATGGATTCCGTTGCTGCGCAGGGCCAAAGATTTAAACAACCTTCAAGGGGTTGAGGTAGGGACGCGTTTATCTTAAACAACGTTACATCCATATCGCTCCATAAAAATCGGAACGGCAATGGCCAGCGCCGGACCTTCTCCAGCTGCCTAAAAATACTGAGGCACAACGCACGCACAAAAGGAGGCAACGCACGGCGCACCCACGGGGAGCCACCAAGAGATCCATCCATCATCCATCCATAGCACGCCTCAAGCATCACGCATCAGCCAGGAGATCGACGCGAGCGCGGCTGTCTTCTGGAGTAGATGGCCGGGAGGGAGGTAGCATAGCCGGCTCCGGCCGTGTTGCGGTTGCTGTCTAGCCGGCTGACTCTGTCCGCCCACCCCGCCGCTTATCCAGAGGAAAATTCCTAAACGTAGTAGACTTGACCTGATTTTTTACCAACCTGCCTAATTCAACAGACTTTTTGAAAGCATATTTGTGGTCACATTATACATATGGGTAAAATGGTCTTTTCACGTGAACAAAATGCACTAGAGTTTCATATAGGGAAAAAAATTAAGACTAGAGATCATATAGGAAAGAAAATTTTCTTCAGTGTCAAATAAGAAACACAATTTTAAGAGAGTGTCAAATAAGGAATTCTCTCTAGAAGAGAAACAAATGAAAGATGCTTACAGAGACAAGAATGTCAAACCCCTGAAGAACCATGAGATGTTCGGGGCAGTTAAGGACTGTGGCTTGGTTTGCTAGTTGCTTTAGCATGTTTCTTGGAGTTAGCAAAAGAATCTGATGCTGGCTTGTAAATGGCTCCGCGTAACTTTTATCACCATTGTGTTGAACAGTGGGGACTGTTACTGTACATAAGTGCGTAAATTGAATTGCAACACATTTTTGTCATGTCCATAGATAATTGCAGATCCTTCAAATCGATGTTTGCGGAGCATCTGTGTCTGTACAGGAGCTATCAATTTACACGCTTTATCTGACAAGAAAATAAAAGACTTGTGTGATGTGAATGCAAGAGCACGAGCAATAGCATTTCTGGTTGCAGAATAAAAAGTGGCCCAGAACTGAACAAGGAAAATCCCCTCCTGGGCACGGGTTTGCGCTGCTTTGTACAATCAAAAAGGGGTATGCACAGCAAAGACAACTAAATCATTCCCTCTTTGCTGCTGGCTATAATTGGTCTAAGTAATGTGTTGCCGGTGATGACCTTTGTTGTTGCAACCACGAAGTCACAGCCCATTCCTTCCTGTGCACCAAGAAATCGAAGCGAGGCAATCTCAGCAAATGTTACGCCACCAACAAACACAACCAGAACAACGGAGCGACGACCAACCCTGTCGGTATTCTGTCTTGCCTCGGCTGATAGTAATTCTAAAAATGAAACTCCATGGGCACTAGCACCCACGGTTTATTGATATAGAAGAAGCATCCCTCATGAGAATTCCAGAAATTCGTCCCCGACGTGGATCGAACTCTGGTCGTTGGGTTTACAATCATGCGCCCCCAACCACTGGGCTATGCCCACGTCCTCGGCTGATAGTAATTCTGATGAACCACTAATGGTCGAGACACCTCTTTTCAAATCCAGATGAGGGCCCGGCAACAATTTCAACACTTCTTCGATAGATCGCCATCCAGACTTCACTGCATGCTGAACAAGGCGAATGCTAAGAGGCGCGTATCCAGCAAAGACGTATGATACATCATCAGGGGAATCAGGATCCTTTATATCAACTATAAGCTGGAGACCTCTCCTGATAATAGCCCAATTACTCCTCGATTCCCGCCCTTTAACAAGGCCAGCCTTCTCCAGATTGTATAACAAGGGCATGTGCTCAAAGCCATAGCTGTGCAGTATCTCCCGCCTCAGGTAGTCAAAACTCTTCCTCGGCAACCCAGCATTTGTAAGGGAAAATAACACCAGAAGGCGAAGCACAGTCTCAATAGGCCCTTGCTTCTGTATGATCTCCTCAATGTACTTGTAACACGTTTCATAGTCCTTCGCCTCCAGCATCTTTTGCTCAATCTCTACTCGGGCATGAAACAAGGGTTTTCCAGCAAACGACTGCAGATGGTGCGCCAAATTAACATGCCTGGTTATCTCCGGTAGTGAGTGTAACCTCTTCACAAAATCCTTGAGCTCGGAAACCGACTGTGTGTTCATTGATTTTACCTGCGCGTAATTTTGCTGAATAGACGTTGCCTTTTGGTGGACGACCCGAAGCACAACATGGAAGCTGAGGTCTCGAATCTCCCTGTACAACTTATCGCTCGAATTGAGCGGAACCTTGATCTTTTTCCCATCTTGTTGGGCGCGCATGATGCCGGCATCAACTTGCACAGATCCGTTATGAATTTCCAACATCTCGTCTAAGAGGCCTTCATACGTTAGCTGAGAGCACATTGGTGTCACCATGTCCACCTCTCGATCTAGCAAGATAACGGTCTCTATCTCTGGAATCCCCATGTCATCCATGTCGACAGGGTCTTGGAGGTGCATATGGTTGAGCAGCTGGGCAGCTTTGGTTGATGCCACACCCTTGGCTCTAACATTGGGGATGACTCCAAAGGCAAGCTCTAGCCTATGAATAGCTTCTGCAACGTGCCAGGCAGAAGTCGCCGTATCCCCTTCCATAAGGTGACATTCCTGTGAGGAATAGTCATCATCACCAAGCTCAAAAGAAATGACATCCTCATCCAAAGGAACCAGATACAAGGGGTATTCTCCGATTATTGCCAACTTTTGATGAACTTTCTCTTCCTCCAGAATCATCTCACAGGCAACTAGACGACGTGGCACGAAATAGAGGTGGTATTCCCTCTGGAGCCCCTTGGATTCGTCGTTCTTGATTTGATTTGCCACGAATTTCATCAAGCTGAGCTGCGACCGAACAAGGTACACCACCTTGGGGCACTCCGTCTGCAGAGGCTCGGCGGAGAGGACCCGCAGCTCCGTGACATGTTCCTTTAGCGCCGAGGTGTGCAGGATCAGCGAGAGGGTGCCCGCGAGCTTCGGATCGATGACCAGACACTTGTTCCCCCTGATGCTCTTGATTATGCTGACGAGTTCCTTCTGTGACTGCTCCCTGAAGGCAGTGAGATTGAGCGGCGCGTTATCGAGGTTTGGGATCTGTGCCATCGGGGCCCGTCGGGCGTCAATGGCGTCGGGGTGGGGTGGCCGGGTGGAGTGGGCTTCTCCTAGCGATGAGGTAGCTGCTCCTGGCTGACGGCGGGACCCGGGCGTCGACGGGACGGAGGTCCGGTGGGGATGGGGCTTGCAATTGGATGGCCGGATCTGCCGGCGGAGGAGTGGAGTCGGGCGTGGCGGCGCTGAACCTTGCGTAGGGTTATTATACGAGAGTGAGAGGGGTAGCTACATAAGAGCATCTTCAACAGGCGCAGCTCGCGCCGCTCGCAAAAAACATATATACCGCACGCGCATCGGCTGGTTTGACGCAGCGCGCAGCGCTGGCTTCAACGGCTGCGTTAAAATGCAGCGCGCGCGCGTCGCTCCAGCAGCGCGCCAAAATGCAGCTCGCGCGACCCGCCGGTGCATTGCATATGGCATTTTTCAACACAAAATGATGAATATTTTTAACATAATAAAAATTTCACACAAACAAGTTGATGAAGTTCATGCCCACAAGTTTAAAATCATGCCTACAAATTCATCCAACCAAGTTCAAAATGCAAATCAAGTTCAATACACAAAGGAAAGACACATCATTTCTCGTCCTCGTCGTCGTCTTCGTCCTCGTTCTCATCTTCGGAAGACGATTCTTCCGCCTCCGAAGATGAATCTTCCTCCCTCTCCTCATCGCGCACCGCATCACGTGAAGCTCCGACGGTGTTGGCAAGATCTTTAACGGCATCTTCATGGGAATGTGTGCGAGGAGGCTCATCGAAAGACATTTCGCCCATGGCGGCCGGAGGTGCACCCATGTCTCCCATGAGAGAAGCAAAACTCATGCCTTCCATCGTGGC